CCCCAAAACCCCAAAACCCCAAAACCCCAAAACCCCGATTCTAGTCAGAAGAAGGTATTAATAAGTCTAATTAAATTGCTTAATAGCTTTCCTGATAATAGACTTTTGAGGTGCAGTACACTGGTCCTGACGGTCAGAAAATGTCTCTGATGCTTTCTTCACCACCTTTCTCTTCTTCTTCCTCCCCTTGTATTTGGTAACCTCCTGAGGTTTCTTTTTGATCCGACTCTTAGCAACCTTATTTTCACTATTGAGGTTAAATTGCTTTTCTCCCATGAAATTGGGCGACTCCATAAGCTCATTAAAGCCTGAGTTTAGGAAGCTCTGACTCTCCTTTATCCTATCATTAGACAGGCATTGAGACTTTTTGTGTTGGGTTGAGGCTAAATAATTATGCTATTGCATCGACCAAAAGTATGTTTGGTTGCCCAATTTTTGTATAATCAAGGAGGGTCTACCCTCATGAGAGCCCTAATTACCTTCTTTATCTTCTGAACCGGGATCGTTTCACCAATCTGATGACTGAACTTTGTTATACTTATTACCCCTTTGGCTCATCTTATCGTCTCAAAGATTTCCTGCATAGTTTCTGTCACTGCTAAATTTGCCTCTTCATGAAGAGTTTTGGAGATATTGGTTAACTTCTTTGGCTAAATTTGATTGACTCTCTATGTCGCTAGTACAAAAGCTACGGTTTAGGCCATCAACATTATCATTCATGTCACTGTTGCTAAAGTTTTTCTTATTCTTAGCAGTCTTATGGTTATCACTCATAGTAAAGCTTACATAGTTAGAGCCCATTGAAGGCATTGTCATCTCGAATCTCTGTCGCAAATTGGATGCTTCCTTCAGCCTGATATTCAACTTCTTTATAGTGTTGTTAAGCTTCTCGTTTAATTTATATAAGTTTTGGTTTTGGCTCTTGACTTTCATCAGCTTACTAGTAAAGTCAGCCCGCTCGTTCTGCAAGCTTTTGATCCTGCCGAGCAACAGCTTTAATGACTTTTCTAATTTTTGGGAATAACCATACCAATCTTTAAAGGTTTTAACGTGATTCAGTCGTTTCATATCAAGCATGGGAATGACGACAGGCTTGAGCCCCATGTCAAAGGTCTGGCTGAGGTCCTTCCCAAAGTTAGGATTATCAGCATCTCCTGAAGTATACATCCCAGAGCCATAGTCAAATGTTTTTCCAAGAGCGTTGGTTTCCCCGACAATATCTGATACGTCTCAGAGGTTGTTCCTGAGCCTATCAATTTCCTCGTTTGCCTTCTCTGTAAAGTAATAAAAATAGACTTACTCAGATCTTTAGTGAGTCTTTCATTTTCATTGATGATTTCATCAATTTCGACTGACTCCATGCTCGTATTGGAATTCTTATTCCCGTTCTCTGTTGGTGGAGGATCCTTTTTAGAAGCCGGTGGAGACCTGACCCTTAACTCTCCTTCCCTCTCAAATTTTTCAGCCATTGGCCTTAATTTGTCAATAGTTTTTGCTTGTTTGTCAATAGTCCTAAATTTTGTTTTAAATTTGTCAATTTCCAGACATAAAATAACCAATAAAGGATGGTATTCAGGGAATTAAAAATACGTATTTAAAGGCTAAAAATTGTGATTTGAAGCTGTGATTACATCTTCAGCTCAAAGTATCGATTGAGCAGGATTTAATCGGGAAGCAAACATCAATCGCGCCATTGCTCCAAAAGCTCTAGTTGCTATAATATAGTACCTTTTACGCTCATCTAGATCCTTCCTGAAATTCTTTAGGTAAGCATCGAACTTTTGCTCCTTATCCTTCATAACCTCGTGATCTTTGTCAAATTGCTCTTTGCGCTTTTTAATAGCTTCATAAAGCTGGATTTTTTCTTTGTGTTCTTTATTTAAAGCTACGCTTAATCGGCTATTCTCTTTCTCCAACCTCTGGATTAGGTCCTTCACAGATTGGTCTGTGATACCCTCCAGCAACACATTTTGCATAAGCTCTTTGTTTATCTTGAGACTTTGTTGCAAGTCCCGGACCTGGGCCTTTAGCTGAGCAGTTATGCTCCGATCCTCATTCATTTTGAAACCCTAAATTTAATTTTATAAACTCATAGTTTTGAGAAATTAATCATTTTGGGGTTTTGGGGTTTTGGGGTTTTGGGGTTTTGGGGTTTTGGGG